GCCCCCGCTTGTCCCCCCCCCCCCCCCCCCCCCCCCCCCCCCCCCCGCATCTCACCGTCCTTGTTCATGCCAGCCTGCAGGCACTTCTTCAGCCGGCAGGCCTGGCACTGGTTGCGGTGCGCCTTGTCCACCGGGCACAGCCCTGTCCCCGCCTGGCACCTATGGGGAGAGGTGGCACCCGGCTGCAGCCCCTGGGTCTGCCCCTGACCCTGGGGTGCAGGTGTCCTGCCCCCATGGGTGCCATGTCCTGGGGGATGCTTTGTCCCTGTTGGGTGTCTTGTCCCCCCACAATGGGTGCCCCGCCATGATGGGCACCCTGTCCCCAATGGGTCCCCTGTCCCAATGAATGCCCTGTCCCCAGTGGGTGCCCTGTCCCCTCCGTGGGTGTGCTGTCCCAGTGAATACACTGCCTTGATGGCTGTCCTGGCCCCATGGGTGCCCTGGACCTCTCCCAGGGTCCCCGCCTCACTGGGCACCTGTCCCCTGGGGCCCCTGCCCTGCTGGGTGTCCATCCCATGGGTCCCTACCCCACTGGGTGCCTCTCCCTCTAGTCTCTGCCCCACTGGGTGTTCATCCCCAAGGTCCCTGTCCCTCTGGGTGCCCATCCCCTGGGGTCCCTGTCCCACTGGGTTCACATCCCCCTGGTCCCTACCCTGATGGGTGCCTGTCTCCCTGGTCCCTGACCCACTGGGTGCCTGTCCCGCCAGTCCCTGCCCCATTGGGTGCCCATCCCCTGGGTCCTTGCCTTGCTGGGTGCCCATTCCCAGGTCTTTGCCCCACTGGCTGCTCATCCCACCCTGGTCCCTGCCCTACAGGGCCCCCCCCACCCCCGTCCCCACCTGTAGATGAGCTTCCTGCGGACACTGCGCTTGAAGAAGCCGCTGCAGCCGTTGCAGGCTCCCCACCTGATGAGCTTCCTGCGGACACTGCGCTTGAAGAAGCCGCTGCAGCCGTTGCAGGCATAGATGCCATAGTGCTTCCCACTGCTGGTGTCCCCGCACACCTTGCACAGCAGCACGGGGCTCAGCACCTTGCCGGGGGCCGGGCTCAGCCCTGCAGGAGCAGAGCCAAGACATTCGGGGTGACTCGGGACACCCCGACGTCCCTCATCCCTCCCACTAGTCCCCAGTGCCCCCCCAGCACGCTGGCGATGGAGTGGTTTCCACCTCCACTGGTCCAGCCCAGGGACATGGATGGGGACACCTCAGGGACTCTAGGGATTGCACATGGGGTTCAGCATCTCCCCACACCCCAGCAACTGGGATGCTGCGGGATGAGCTCTCATGAGACTTTTAGAAGGGGATGAAATGTTGTCCCTAGGGATGGGGACACCAGGTGTCCCAGTCAGGGGATGCCAGGCATCCCAGAGAAGGGCCACAACCAGGGACTGGAGGTGTCCTGACATGGCCGGGGACACTGGGCATCCCAGCAAGGGGCTGTGGGCATCCCAGAGAAGGGTCACAGCAGGAAACTGTGTGGCCCTGGAGAAGGGCAGGGGACCATGGGCATCCAGGAGAGGGCTGCGGCTGGGGACTGCAGGCATCCCGCAGAAGGGCCATAGCTGGGGGCCCTGGGGATCCTGGAGAAGGACCATCATGAGAACCATGGGCATCATGGAGAGCACTGGGGTTGGGGACTGCAGGCATCCTGGCCCAGAGAAGGACCACGATGAGGACCCTCAGTATCTTGGAGAAGGGTGATAGCTGAGGACCCTGGGCATCCAGGAGGAGGACTACGATGGGGACCCCATGTATCTTGGAGAAGAACCATGATGAGGACCCCAGGCATCCCAGATAAGGACCGTGATGGGGACCCCCACCATCCCGGTGAAGGACTACAATGGAGACCCCAGCCATCCCTGAGAAGGACCACGTTGGGGACCCTGGATATCTTGGAGAAGGACTGTGATGGGGATCCCAGCCATCCTGAAGAAAGACCCCCACTGGTGACCGCGGTCCCGCCATGTCGCACCCACTCAAGCAGAACACCACCTCTTACCCGTGGGGCTATCATCCAGCCCAGCGCTCACCACCGACCCCACCGGCGATGCAGCCATCCCGTACCCGGCGTTCCTGACCTCTCTCTCTCTCCCCTCCCTCTGGCTGCCACCACGGTGGGTGCCCCCGGGTCTGGCGAGGCGGTGGGTGCTCCGGCAGCTCTGCAGGCAGCGGGGTTCTTGCCTTGCTCTCTTCAAGGCAGCTTAGTGGCGGGCGCTGTGTAAGCAGC